GGACGTGGGGGATCCGGAGGCGGTGAGGAGGCGGATTCGAGCGCTGCAGAAGAAGGTCAGGGAGATTGAGAAGTTGAAGGTGGGGAACTGTCTGGGGAGTGGGCGGAGAATGGCATGTTCTGCGAGTGTGCCATGATTGGACATGGAGATTCCTCCAAATTGATGGAAGGAGTGTCAACCGTTCGTTGTTCATCAGCATGGGTTTCACCAAGTGTTTTTTTTCTTTCTCACCGGACGTTAGGCTCAAATACACCATGTGCAGTTATGATGATCATCTCGAATTGTCAGAGAAATTCCAGTTGCTTGCACACAAGTCTCTCACAGGCCTTCAGCTTGCCTGGTTGAGAGACATACTTCGGATGGCTTCCCCATCAATCTGGGACAGCCGGATCCAAGTCCGACCCCCCTTATCTCATCAAAACATGATGACGCCCCGTGAAGGTAGCTGGATCCTGAGTGGACCCCTGTTTTGGAGGATCCAGAAATAACGATCGAACATCACCACGAGTCACAAGACGGGGTTGCCCCCAATCCCAGTGAGTCGCACTAGCGGAGTCGCACCCGTTCGACGACCGAGACCTCGAGCACCCCGACCCGTCGACTGCTGGTCGGATCAGGTCCTTTCCGTCCGGTCGATCCACCCCGGTCGGTCTCGGACCGGTCCGGCCCAGGCGGTCTCGGAGTCGGCGTTGGACGTGCTCCAGAAGGACGGAGCCACGGAGAGCACGGGAGCGCGGAGGGGAGCCTGAGTTGGCTCGTGGAGTGGCGTGCTGAAACGGACGCGAGGTGGTAGTAGCATTTGTAGTAGCTATAGGAGGTCCCAACCAAACCATGGGAGGCTAACATTCCTGATGCACCAGCTTTGGACCCCTCTTCGGCACCTTTCGCAAAAGGCAGCATTTTTCTTCTATCGGCCGCTCCGCGCTCCGCGACGATCCGCCGCACCCCATCGGCCAGGAGAAGGTGGCCACCGAGCCTGACATCCATCGGGAGCTGCAAGGCGGGTCGCGGGCGGCGCCCGCTCGGGGGGGCATCGCCGGGTCTCGCGGACGCGGGGGCGCTCAGGTGGAGGAGGAGGGGGTGCCAGGACCCCAAGAGGGCTGGCCATGGGGTGTATAATATATATATATACCATTATATACCCTGGAAGTCAAAGACCATTTAAAAAAAGGTTCATCTGGTTTTGTAGTGTAAGCCCCGTAGTGAAACAATTGTTGTTCGGTAAAGGCTATTAAAACAATGGTGGTTCCACTTCTAGGGTATATATATATATGTGCTGAAAGAGACGGCTCAACTATGCACCAGCACCGACTCGACACCAGCTTCTCCGTCCGGAGTTTTCTCCTCCGGATCGACCGCGACGTGAGACGGGCGGCGCGGACGGCAGCAGGCCTCGAGAAGCAGCTGGACCTGTTGGAGCGGCCGCCGCGGATGATCTTCGACGTGGAGACGGAGGAAGGCACCGAGACGGGTGGACGGACCGGTGACCGGCCTCTTCAGTTCGCCAGCCTGGTGGAAGTCCATCTTCGTCTCTGCCTAGAGTGGTGACCAGGCCCACTTCGTGGGCTTTCAAAATCTGGAGGCCCACGAGTCCGTGGGATCCCTCCTCACGGGGGCAGAAGCCTCATCATCCCCAACAGGATCTTTGTGGCCTCTTGTGAGGGGATCCCTCCTGGAGTCCCTTGGATCCTACTTCGCCGCGACTCGGTCCCAAGGCCTTCAGGAGATCCACTACTACGACGGAGACGATTGCCGCCTGGCAGGGATGAGACCAGGCCAAACGAATTTGTAGACTCTTGATTCATCAACCCGAGTTGAATTGAAAGTTTTGGCATAGGCATCCTACATATACTTACTGTATCGAAACAAAAACATATTTTACTTCTTTAAGCTCTTTCACTCAAAGCCGGCACTTGTCAGCTCCTCATCTTCCTGGCGCTCTCTCCCAGACAGACCTGTCGAACCATTTCCTGACCTGCACGTCTTGCACGACTCGAAGCTTTTGACTGCGGCTGGGAGGCCTTCAGCGGAGCAATATCACTCAACAACAGCTTTTGACACTTGTTGTGATCAAGCTTGTAATTTTTGGTATGCAACGCGCCACACTTTGGCAACACAGAAGAAGAACGGTGGGCATTGGATTTTGGCGCCCGACGCTTCCGTTCGTAGGTTGGCGCGTGGACTTGCCGAGCAATTGCGGGCCGTTTTCAAGGCAAAAGACATGCCCAATCTCCTGGCCGCCCGGCAGAGTGGAGGTTGCGCTGCAGCCGGTCCAGTGCAGGTTGACCCTGAGAGCTGTTGAGAGCCGTTGTGTCGCTTGCTTTCAATGCATGTGCTTGTGTTGCAGGGGAGAGAGCTGCAGCTTTTTGGATTTTTTGAGTTTGAGGACAGCAGCGGGGACAGCCCATCCTACCGAACGGTGGCCTGCCTGAACTGCAACACTTTTGCCTGGGGCTGGCCCGTTGCGGGCCCGTTGGCCCGTTGCCCGCCAGGGGCGCGTCGTCGGCCCCTCACAGGCCCGTCGAGAGCCCGTCGGCCCGTTGGGGCCCGTTGCCCGGACGGTGTGTCGTACGTGAGATACTAAAGGCAGCCGTGTCTTTTCCAAGCTGGCGCGAGGATTGTTTTGACTTCAAGCTTATATGCAAAGCTTGGCCAGGAGACCCCTCAAGCTTTAACAAGTGAGTCCGCAGTAGCTGTAGCAATTCTCAACCGTCTGCCATGCTGCAACATGCGATGAACTTGCCTCAGCCCAACAAATTTTGCACTGCAGATCGCTGTAGAGCGATGTATGCGCGGATGAGACGAATGGATGAGCTGTGCAGTGTGCATGCAGATAGTCAAAACCATATGCGTTACTGTAATGAGTCTCTGTCCGTATCTGGGGCGTTAAAATCGAAGGCTGTGTGCTGGTGTTTTGGTTTGCTACACAGGGTTCGTTTCCTTTCGTTTCGTCGCATTTGTCAGAGTGGTGCTTCCTTTTCAACTCACCCTAGAACAAATGAGCAACCGCTTTCTTGGAGGCTTTACGAAAGTGGTCTACAACATGCTCTGTTTGCTTATCTATCAGCAGTATTTGCTTGTGAATGAGATATAGCCCCCACATAAACGAGATACTGCTGTTTGATGATATTGAAGCAGTCTGAACGGGATAGTGTGATCTGCTGCTAATGTAGTCCCAACGAGATACTGTGACATGTCCTTCTACTTGAGTGATTTAAACAAGATAGGGACCCCGCATAATAGCGTAATAGATAGTTTGAGGTTAGTACAAGATAAATGCCGCCGCGCAAGTAATTGCTGCGCACCTGTGCTTGTTTGTTGCGCGCGCCAGACACACGCACAAACAAACACCATGAGGAAAGAAAGGTAGCGTGGGCCCGTTGCGGGCCCGTTGGCCCATTGCGGGCCCGTCGGCCCGTTGCCCGACGGGGGCCTGTTGCTGTTGGGGCCCGTTGGGCCCGTCAAGTGTTTGGCCCTAGTGGAGACACCTCCCCCATCCATGGCGCGTTTGAGCATGTGCAAGTTGCATTCCTGCAGCGCGGCCACATCCCCATGGGTGTGGCAGTTGTGCCACAGCCCGGAAAAAAACGTCGCAAAGCGCCCGCTGTGCCATCCATTCTTCAGGTAATTCATATTTTTGTGAGATTTTTTCGATGCCTCCGGCCCCTCGTTTTGCCACGTGAAATTTCAGCTTTCGCGACTTTCGTGTCCAAGCCGATCTCCCAGGCCTCGGCGCATGCTGCAGCTGTGTTGGCCTCAGAGGGCTTCATTTTCAATTTTTTTGGTCCACGACAGTTAAACAGATTGCTTTCGACTAAGGCTCATCCTCCTGCAGATTCTGCTCCAGACCATGTGCCATGCGCTCGCCTCATATGCCTCACTTTGCGGAGTGAGCGTGTTCTTTTTCTTCTTGGTGCGCCTGAAAGGGTGCTGACGCTGCTCCTTGCACTTCTATGTGGAAGGCTTCTTTATTTCAGGTTACCAAAGTCTTACCAATTCTTCTTCTCACAATCTTTCCAACTATCTTGCTATGTTGCCAGGGCATGACCGCTGCCGAGAGGATCGGGTAGCTGCGCTTCGAACCACCTATCCAAAGCGACGTGGACCAGGCGACGCGAAAAAAGGCACGATTTGTCTTTGCTGCAAGCTTCCTTGCTCCAGCTGTGATCCTCCCAATTGCTTCATTCACTCACACGTGAGCTCTGAAGTGTTGGACTGTTAGACAAACAGGTCTCGAACCACTTTCCCATCACTTTTGGAAGCTCTGACACGAGACACGAAAAACCCATTTCAAGACTGGCCCTGTCACTTGTGGCGGAGTCATCATGTTCATCCATGATCATCATCATCATCATCGTCATCATCATCATCATCATCATCGAATCATCATCATCGTCATCGCCGTCGTCGTAGATGATTGTCCAGGGTCAACACCTGCGCTTGCCAGGAAATCTGCACTTCGAGGTTCCAGGGTTCACGAAGTGCTGCCCTGCTACGAAATCTGCACCTGCCACGAAATCTGCACTTCGAGGTTCACGAAGTGCTGCGCCTGCCACGAAATTTGCACTTCGAGGTTCGCGATGCGCTGCGCCTGCCACGAAATCTGCGCTTCGCACGAAGTGCTGCTCCTGCCACAAAGTTTACATTTCCTGCGCGCAAAGTACCGCGCTCACCACGAAATCTGCAATTGAAGGTGCTCAAAGTGCTGTGCCTGCCACGGAATCACCCTATGAAAGTGCTACCAGAAAAATTACTCAAAAAGAAAAACCCAAAAATCGTGACCCATTCTTCAGCCAGCCACTCAACGCCTGCGTTCCCGCAGTTCTCAACCACATTGCCAAACCCGCTTTGGCATCGTTGTGGCCCGTTATTGATGTGGAGCAAGTCGATATTGGCGTGCTTGCTTCGTGGGGTTTGCCTACCATGAAGGCATGCTTTCCGCAAGTGCCTGCCGGCCCGGCAACCTGGATCATCGCAGAATGCAAGGTGCGCACGCGGGCATATGTTTGCGTATGACTTGTTTCAGTTCCGTTCTCTTGTGATCCAGGAATCGCCCGCCCCGAGTCAACTATCAAGTGAATGCTTACAATTTACCATGTTAACCTCCCTGTTCGGGGGCCCTGTCAGGCAGACGAAGATCAAGAGGCAGGTTCACAGAACCCTTCTTCATTCTAGGTTCCGGTTTCGGTCTGATCCGATAAGGTTGAGTGCCATCATGCATAGTCTTGCATGCTTGTGCTTGGCAAAGAGGAACAGGCTGCGAACTTGCACAGGTTCTTGAGGATGATCCAGACACCCTGGCACTTATGCAGCATGGCAGTCTCACAATGCCGGGCCTCCCTGCTCAGAAGCTGATGGCAAAGATCATAAGGCAGGTTCGCCGAGCTTCTGAGTTCTAGAAGATCAAGCAGCCGTGACGTGGGTCTGATTGCTTGTGGTGGGGCGCGTTCAAATCATCCGAGTATCATGCATACTCTTGCATTTCAGGACCAACAGCCGGAGATCAGTCCAGGAGCCGAGGCCGCCAACCTTACTGCTCATTTGTTATCGCAAGCCATCGCAGCATCACCTTCTTGAATCTAGTTCGAGACTGCGGCTGCAAACTATTCACTCTGGTCTCAGGCCTGTTACGAAGATCCAAAGGCGATGAAAAACAACCGCCGCGAGGATCTGTATGCAACTCTAGACCTTTATTTTGAAACTTCACTTGCTCCCACAGATTTCGTGTGACAGGAGGCCCGCAGGGCGTCATACGGACGCCTAGCGGCTGCTGGACTCCTGCGCAAACCCCGCATTTCATTTGCGACAAATGTTTCGCACACGACATACAATACATGCATTGTAGACACGCAAACTAACCGCTAACCTGACCTAACCTAAACCTAACCCAAAACCTAACCTAACCTAACCAAAGGGAATGCAACGTAAACCCGTGCTAACCGACTCTAAGCTATCGCTACTGCTGTGACTGCTGCTGCTGCTACTACTACTCCTGCTGCTGCTGCTGCTGCTACTCCTCTTACTATTACTGCTACCCTTACTACCATTGCTATTTTGGAAATGTTTGGATTTAGTAGGTTTTCTTTATTGATGTGTGTCGAATATTTTTGTGGATACGTGAAATATTTTAAAACCTTTCAGCCTTTCATCAGATTGAAAGAACCTCTTCATATGGGAGGCTTATGAATCAAGAGTCTACGTTACTGTAACCCTAGAAGTCCAACGACCATTTTTGGCAACACCGAAGTAGAGGAAACTCCTTTTCGATTCACGTAAGGGCCATTTAAGAAATGGTCTTGGACCCCCAGGGGTAACCAGACACACCTTTTCCGGCTTTGGCTTCGTTGAAAAAAACATTTCGAGTTCCACCATCGCTGTTTCCGGGTGACGGAGAAACCACCTGTTGGGGCGGTCCATGGTACCCAAAAGTCAATTTTTCAAGAGCCATCCCACATGGCAGGCTGAGCAAATGGAGGGCCCTCCAGCGAGATCATCTCCAATGTTTATATTGTCGCGGATGAATTCTTTGAAACCGCGTGGTGAATGGGTGAACGGGTCAAAGATGCCTCAAACAATCCATGGGATTGGAAGATGCACCTAAAACCCTTACAAACACAATGAGGCCCTTCCGAATGATTTCCCAATAAACACTTGGAACCGTGACGTGAGGCCTCTTCTTTGAGTCATTGGTGGTCCGGGTCCTTTAAGTTGCCACCTCTTCCGGCCCCGAGATGCTTCACGGAGGCTACGAGCTGTCGAGCCGCTTCTGCGCGCGGTTTGGTTTGGATGGCGAGTTGGCGCGCTTGCTGGCCAGCAACATGCAGGAGAGATTTGGGACAGACGTGGGCGGACGAGTTCAGTTTGGACCTGGGACGGCTGCCCGGTTAAGAGGTGTGCCAGCGAGTAGCGAGTGAGTGAGGCCCCAAGATGTCACCCGGCTGGAGGGACCCCTCACTACTATACGTCTCCAGGTAGGACACCCACACACAGAAAGCTGGGGGCCCAAGACTGATTTGATCGCTGGGTGCGGTTCGGAGGGAGCGACGGCTCGGGTTGGGAGCATCCACCTTACCTTGAAATCAAGGATGAGATTGGGGCCCAGTTGAGGCTGGTCTGACAATTTGGTTTGGTTATGTTTGGTTTGATTTGCACCTCCTCAGGTTTTTGAGGTTTGATGAATCAGGAGTCTACAATGATCATCGACACGGGCGGCACCGATCCCATTCTACCTCTCTCTGTCATATTTCGATGCCTACTCCGCCAGGAGCGGCTGGCGCAGGGAGCGCCGCCGTAACGCGCAAAAAGGGGAAGACTTTCCTCTCAGAGCCGGGCGGGGGGTGGCCAAATCCACGGAAGAAGTATAGCCAAGCAGCCCCTTCCTGAAGATTAATTGATTGGGGTAATGCAGACTCTTGATTCACCAAGCCCCCCCCCAAGCCTGAAGAGCTTTTACAATCCATACATGTCATGTCATACATCGTTCGCGAGTTGGTTGCGGCGTTCTACATGACTGGGCATGGTGCACGGGGGAGACCGGAACACCCGATGTGACATGTCTCAACACGTCTCCGAATCGGAGAGTCGTTGAGCCCTGGCAGTGATTTCGAACCATTGGTGGTGAGGGTAGGGTGCTATATATGGCCCACACATGACCTCTGTTTTGATAAGAACAGGCGGTCCAAACTAGAGGTCACTCAGGCTCTAGGTTATCAAAGGCCAAGGGTCCATGCCATCCACTTTCCTTGATTGTTGGAGAGGAAGTGGCTCCTCAGCCATTGAGCTCAAAGATCATCTTCCCGACGCCATCAGTGCGACGAACAACACCAGCCGCGCCGGTGTTTGCCAAACCTTTCTTTTCTCCGGCCATGGCTCTGCGTGCCGCTGGGCGGCCATTGGCGCGTCAATAGCTCCAGAAAAATGGGTCGGAATCGGACCCTCTTATGGAGGGGTCTGGACCCTCAAACCCTACTATGGTTTTGAGGGACCCAAGGGCTGTTTGGAGCGTCTGGGTGCTACAAATCTACAAATTTATGTAGTCGCATGCTTAGGCCACGAGCACACCGTTCTCGGCGTCAACGAGAGAAAACAGGTGGTGATATGTTGTGATACATTCGCTCAGAGACAGGCCCCTTGTGCTTTTGCCTCCCTGGTCTGGAGAAGAACAGGCTTTCCTTCAACACCTGTAGGGCTTTCTACATCTTTTCGATCCGGCCGTGACTCCCGTCCTCTTTGGGGCGCCCCTCTGGAGAGCAATTTCTTGACATTCTGGGCGTGAAGAAACCATGGAGGTATTCCGAACCGCAATCTCCAACTCCCAGGGTCAGACCGAACCGTAGCCTTTAGACCATACATTCTTTTTGTTAATTCCTTTTCATTTTGTCCCTTTTCTTGGCTGACCTTCAGCCATTTTGTTCTTGTTTCTTTTGTTCTTCCCAGACGCTCCATTCACAGCCCTTGGTCCCTCAAAACCATAGGGAGTGGTTCGGGTCCAGACCCCTCCAGAGGATTCGGGTCCGACCCCTGCAAAGGATTCGGGTCCAGGAGCGTCTAGGTGGTTGAAATCCCCCAAGAACCCCTCCAATTCCCAGCAGCAGGAGGCCCATGGCCTCGTTGCATCTTCAAAGCCCCTCGATGAATCGGCGCCCCCATCGGGGCGCCGCTCCGCTCGCTCCGCTCCGCGGTTTAACATTCTAAAAAATTCAGAAATTCCGAAATTCCTTTTTCTTTAGACCCGAAATTCCAGCGCGCACCTTTCCCGCCAACCGCCCCAGCGAGGTGGCCCTGCTGTCTCTGCCGCTGGCACTGGCGATGCGCTCCACCCAGCACGAGACGCTCGCCACGGCGGTGAGCTCCGCGAAGGCGCAGATGGAGGATATCTGGGGTGCCTTGGAGGCGTATATGGCTGGCCCATCTCCTCAGGTTCGGTGGTTGGACCCTCCTGGCACCCACCCCAACCATCTTCTCAGGAGGTAGGCTAGGAGCCCTAGGGCCCGACTAAGGCCCTCGCCGCCCGCCCAGGTCGCGTGACGGACGACGTGATGCCCGCGCCGATGCCCTCGGCCTTGGCGCCCTTGAAGTTGATGTCGGCCGCCCAGGAGTGAGGATGGGGGCAGGGTATGGGCAGGGCTACTATTGGGCTGAGGCGAATGGGGTGGTCAACTGGAGAACCACCGATCCCAAAGAGCATTTTTTGGCGCACCATTGAGTTTGGAGTTCAAACATATTAATATTCAATTGTTTTTAAAATCATGACAGGATTTGAACCGAAGCACCATCGTTTTGCTGAATGACTTTCTAGACTCCACCGACCCGGGCACCATTTGATGGTCGCCTGGTCCTCCCAGAAGGCCACGTCGGACGGTCCATTCGACTCACCGACTTCTTCTCACGCGTGCGTGGCTCACCCCCCCCCACTCCGCGCGTGAGTGAACGACCGGGTGCGCGGTGCAGAGCAGCTCTCCGATGCTCCAGGATCTGCCGCTGATCGGGCCGATCGTCCACTGGGCCAATGTGACGCCTGGTCGAAGCAACAGAGGTTATATAAGTGACCGTAAATCGGACCCGTCGTCAGGGGTACCTATAGGATAGTCGAACTAGGGTTCTTCAACCTCTGTTGGAAATGTCTAGCTTTCGATTCTTTTGGCGGGTGTGCATGTTGGGGTGGATGGTCCGGGGGGCTTTGGGGCGCATCGAAGCGCACAAAGGTGGAGCAAGATGTTTCTTTCGTTCCCCCGGCCCATTACACTGGGGTGAATCCTCTTCTGATTTCATCTCTTTAGAAGTCCAGGACCACCCAGGTAAAGGAGACTCCTCTTCGGGTCATCCAAGACCATTTTAAATACCGTTTAGGACACTCTAGGAACATTTTAAGGGTTTCGCTCTTTTCGTCGGTGAAGCCAGCACATCCAAGGACGGAGGACCTGCGCACCACCTTCTCATGGCGCAAGGACTACCCGCTTCCCCCAGGCGGGGAGTGGGATCGGTGCTGATTGGCCCGCGTAGGGCCATTCGAAATCATTGGTGAGAAGCCCCAAACCCGTGCAGAGGAGTCGGGTCAGAAAACCCCTCCATATGAGGGTCCTGCAGCGCCTGGGTGGGACGGCTAGCGCTTTTCAGTTGTCCGTCCATATTTCCAAACAACAGGATAGAGGTGAAGAAGTGGAGGGTAGATGGATGTAGATGGCACACCCCGGCATGTCTTAGGTATCTTAGGTGGCTTGTCGACCCGGGTGGAAGGGCTGTTCCGGGCTTGTGGTACATGGTGATGGTGCTGAGTGCACTCATGGCGGTCGTCGTTTTCGGCCAGAAACGAAAACGGCCTGCGTGGCGCAGCCATCGGGCGACGCCACCGAGCAGCTTCGGCCTCGCTTCGAGCAGGCCACCAGAAGCTGATTCATCCGGTCACCCGGCATGACGGGCCCGGCACGAGGTTGGAAATGATGGGGGCACGGCCGGCACCGCCATGGTGCAAAGTTTGAAGCCCTAGAAAGGACTCCAGTCGTTATCCAAAAATACCTTCTGAGAAGGTACGACTTGGAACCCTAGGGAAGGTGAGAAACGGCTCATGTTTGTCGGCCATGCATGACGTCAATGACTCTGCAGCATATTCGGGTTCGCAATGAGAGCTGCCGGTGCAGTGTCCGGTTTGGGCCCAGGGCCAGGTTCTGCGTCCATCCATCTAGGCAGGTTCGCACGGACAAAGCCCTTGCAGAACTTGTTCTGGTTGAGGTTTGGCAGGGCCCTGTCAATGGGTATTGATGGGAGGCACGAGGAACAGACCCTGCATGCCATACCCGCTATAATATGAACGACACTTTGTTAAGTGGTAGGTGCGGTGTTGATTGAGAACTCCGCTGCATTGGGCAATTCAAGTGCCAGTTGGTTGTATGCTCTCACGTTTTGGGAGCAGTACCCCCCTTACACCTTCTGCGATCCTAACCGGGTTTGAGCAAGATTCGTCCGCGCCTGTTCCGCCAACTGCAGCTCAGGTGGGTTCCGTGGCCAAGATCAAGCTGGAGTGGGACCATGAGATGATCAACAGCCTAGGCTTCACAGGCACCTCCCGGCGCTGTCAACGTAGCGAACGTGGCCGCAGATGTCCGGCACAGACGGCTCTGCGGGCATCTGCGGACATCGGCGGACGGCGGAAGTCGGGGGCTTCTGAAGAAAGATGAACTTGTTCCACCGGGAGAGTCGGGTCGCAGCGTGATTTTGGGGATGACATCCAGTGACCTCTCGCATTACCAACCCTGGGTGACCTGGTGCTGTTCAAGGATCTGCTCACAGGCCGATCAATTAGCACCTTTTTGGGGCTCTCACGATTCTGGAGGGCACGTATACTTCAAAACTAAGCCATGAATGAATGAGGAGGTAAGGTCTGACCGTAAGGGATGCGAGGTCTTTTGGATTCCTTTTGGGTGAATTTGGTTTCCTTCCTTGGCTCATTTCGTTCGATAAGGGCCCAGCAAATTGCTACGACTAGTGATACTAGTGTGTTGGATTTGCACATGCCGCATTTTCCGTGAAATCTCTCTCTCTCTCTCTCTTCCTATCAAGACAGAGGTCATGTCGGGGCTCTAGGCAGATCAACGAAGGTTTCTGCCAACCCAGAAAAGAGGCCGAACAGGAAACCCACCTGCCACATGGGACTCTCGTCTTCAGCCAGAAGAGACCGACCGGCGCGGGGCATGTTACCCAGGCCATCCAGGCAAACCACGATGTCGCTGGCCACCTGGGGTTCAGACTACAGCCAGTCCCTGGTTCCGTTGATGGTTGCCTGGGATCCATCGGGTTGAATGGACCAATACAATCCTTGGCTTGGAAATGACCAGCCTCGCAGGGCCTCAACACCTTCGCTCCGATCTTGACCTTCCACCTCCCTCCGGACCCAGGCGTTTTCACCGAGGACCAGGACTATGCCTTGATCCGCCACCCGGACGGGTGGGCCGTTCCATGAGCTTTCTCGGACGGTGTATGATGGTGTTGAACCTTCTTCTTGCTTTGCCCCAAGAATTCGGACCTTCAAGGTGTCGGGTCCGAAATTCGTGCGAAGGTGTCGGGTCCGAAATGATTGCGAAGGTGTCGGGATGAAGGATTCTTAGGGTGAGTGTTAAGTGCTAACTCATTCAGGACAAATTTTGGTGTGGAGGCTTCATGAGGCGAAACGTGGGATGAGTCTTGACGACCCGATTTCTCGAGCTTTGACTCTTTCAATAAAACCTATTGAGGGTCCCTTAAGAGCATCCCATGCCGGCTGCTTCGAACGGGTCATCTGCCTGGACAAACCCTAAACCC